TTGTACAGAGATTTTAAAACAACAAGCGAAAATGTTTATTTTGTATGTGTTCTTTATAAAGAAAGAAAAAAAAGAGTCGGGAAAATGAATCGAAATTTTCTCTTCTCAAGTAACAGACTCAATTAGAAGTCTGTTTGATCATGCTCACATTTAATTGGTTTGTAATTAAATACAAAGTCAGGAATTGGCTGAAGTGCTCTCGCTGTGGTTTTCCTGAAATACATATCAAAGGATTTCCCTTTCAATCATCATAAAAATTCAACGCAGCAGCATCCAATTAAAAGCAGCATTTAAAAAAACACATCCATGTCGATTATTTTGACGTATGAAATCCAATGGGCTTGCGTTCTCACCTTTTCCAAGTCTTTTGAAATCAAATAAAATCCTAGCAAAAGCCAATTACAATCAATTCAAAAACAATAATAAAGACCCACACACATTGAATTGATCGAGGAAAAAAGGTAGAAATTAATCAATGGCAATTTGTAATTATATTTGCGACTGATGGAAGAACATTCAGCCATTAATTCAAATACAATTTCCAACAATTCAACGACGTCAAGAGATGTAATTGGAAATTCAATTCGAGAACGACCAAATGGAATGTTTGATGTGAAAGCATTCGGGCTGAATAAAACTGGAAATTAATTTTAAAATAAAAGCAGCCCCATCTTCATTAAAAGAACAAAACATCCAACTTTCGATTCTCTCTTTCAATTCTTTTGAGTCGGTTTCCTTTTGCCATTACCTCTATGAATATTCAGAATGAAATATGAACAATTGGTTTCGTAGATTGTGCAAAATGCGAACGCGACGACAATGCGAAATGGAAAATGGCAGCCAATGAACATCCCAATGAAAATTCAAAAGTCGACATTCAAATGCAAATGTTGTCATTTATTTTAATTAAATATAAGCTGCACACTCACTCGCATTGAAGTAAGAAACATTGGAAATTGGACACTAAGATGGAAAATCGATGTAAATGTGGGCTTGAAAATCCAACCATTCACATTGACAAAACTATCATTTCAGACTTTGAATCGCAAATGACTCACTTCGAATGTCCCGTTTTTCTTTTCATTTTGTGCGCACCATTTCAAATTTCAATTCAATTGGATGTTGAGAATGAATACCATTGAATTTATTCAAAATTGAAACAAACTATTCAAACTAAACGATGAAGCATCACATTGACAACATCGCTTTTCTATCTTATTAAATATGTCCTTGAATTCACAAAAAAATGGCACACTTTTCAATTCGTCCAATTCACATTTTGTTCAATTTTGCCGACTGATTATCAAAAGTGAATACATGGACTAAAAGAACTGAATAAATTAACAGCCCAGAAGCCAGACAAACAATTTGCATACTTTCATTTACAGTTTGAAAATGTTAAACAAACGATGCTTTTTCGAAGAAAACAAAAAAACACACACCAAGCGAATTGAAATTAAAATGGTAATTATTTTGTAGACTCTGTCTCTCTCTTGGTATTCGCATGCTCTACGATTTATGATCCAAAATGGACGAACACTTTGTAAAATCTATTCAACACCGACTCCACTTTGATGCCACGTTCATCCGGTGTACCTTCTTGAGATTGTTGACGAAAAATTGCATAAAATTTCGCGACAGAAATCACATAATGGAATTTCAAGCATTTTATAGCTCAAGACACACACAAAGGGGTTGTTGCTGTTGAATCCTTGACAAAAAGCAGCAAATTAAGCGACTTTTCCGCCCTGACCCAACCCAATTTTGTGTTTGGTGATGATGGCATTGTGTATCGCCTTTGTTGTTGTTGAAACCATTAAAAGATTCTCGCATCCTTATAGTAATGAAATTCGTTGTGTGCTTTCGACGACGAAAAGGTGCCAAAATTAAAAATCATGATTCGACGTGGCTTTTACGGTCAAAGTCATCGCCAACATTTGGCTGTCACATTTTTTGCCGTCGGTTTTTTATTTGCTTTTTTAATTGTTTCGCATACCAAGTGACGGGGAAAAAATCGGCACATACCTTGAATTCTTGAATCTTTAAGATTATTTCGAAGAATATTGTTGTTGAAAATATCTTTAAGATTTCTCATCAGCATCTCATCGTATATGCAACAAGCAAGCCCACCTTATCAAAACAAACTAATTTAATATCACAGAAAATGCGATGGAAATTGTTTTCGGTTCCAGTGCCAAAAATTCGGTTAAAAAAGGTTCGTCCATTTTCGCAATTTCTATTTTAAATAAAGAGAAAAAAAGAAACATTTTGCCAACTCATTTGCAACGTCTAGTGTTCACAAAAATGAAATTATCATAATTTTGCCAACATTAAAATTCGTTCAGGCAAAGGATGTCACGATTTTTATTTGCTTCATTTATAGAAAAACATGTACTATGGACATTGGACAATTACCAAAATTTACGATTTTCGTGTGTGTGCAACTTTTACTGTTATCCTTTCTATTTGTCATCCGATATGATATTTTTCGTGTTTATCTCTTTCTTTTCTCTCTGTCTCTCTTGAGTGTTGAAACAGCATAAATGTAACAGAATATACAAACGAAGTCCATTGAAATACGATCCGATGTAATAGTTGTGAATGGTGTTCGTTCGCACCAACATTATCTGATGGCAACCATTGAATTTCATCGACAAACAGACGAAAGAAAAATAAACAGATATGGATCCATTGATGAGTCCATTGATGGCGACTTATGTGACATTTGATGGAGTAACATCACATTTTGCATTGCAATGAAAATTTCGAAACACAAAAATGCTAGCAAAAATGTCTATGTGCTGTTATTTACATTTAAACATCACACTTAAAATTCAATGGAATTCAACATTGCTATTTCGCTGTAGCATACTTTGAAATTGATGTTATGATAATAATCCTTTTCGTTTTTTGAACAGAATGTTCTGCATAAATTAAATGCTCCAGAGTTACACTGTTTAATTACTTTAAATATTCGCTGTTGAGCGGAATGTAAAATTTACGATACAGTGTTTACTGTTGAGATAACTTTGTAAATTGAGGAGACTTTTAAATAATTAATAAAATCCTTTTGGCATTTACTTTTTAATCAATCGTTGAATTTCAAAGAATATCTCTGTTTTTTCACAAATAACACGGCCAATAAATTCTTTATTACGTTGTGCGTGTTGTCCAGCCTTTGATGATGGCGATGTTTAGTTATTTATGTCCGTTTTCCTGAGCTGTATGTAAATCAATGCCAAACGAACTTTGACCGTAGCTCTCCATGGAATGATCTTTTCATCATAGCCAAACGGTAAGCTCTATACATGGTTCTTTGTTTGTCCTTCCTATAGAGAAATATCTGATGGTCCATTTGTAGTGACACGTGCTGTGTCTGTATCATGATTTTATCATGAAGTGGTCGCTTCGTTTTAATTAAAAAATAGTGAATGTGAAATGAGACGAGATAAATGCGTAAATTAAAATGGAACATTCGCCTACACAAAATATGGAGTGTAGCGTGTTCCATATTGGGCTATCTCGCTTATTTTTGCTACTCGTTTGATGCAATACATGCGACCAACTATTTTATTGTATACAGTGCAAATCTCATGCAAATAGCTTCAAGAGCACTTTTGATTCAATCCATTTGAATTGAAATACCATGGTCATTGAAATAACTATGGTTTCTATTTCGTTGTTGCTTTTGTTGTGTGTAACATCGACTTTGATAAATTTGTTAATTTGGCCATGTATGTGCAATGCACATTGTGTATATCCCAGTATTTTTGTTCCTTTATTTTATGATAAAAATGATTCAATTGAAACCAACATCTGGATGGAATGTATAAATACCATCTCGGACCAAAATAAATTCCGCATGTTCGGAATGTTTTTTTTCACATTTGCATGCGATTGTGCGTTATCTATTATTAGCTACCACATAACATTCTAACTCTCTTTATTTTCGAAACAGAAAATACGAAAAACTCATTGCATGTGCGTCGATGTTATCTAACCATGGTCAGTCAATGAATATGTATTTTCAAATGAAAACGGATTCAAAAAATTTCAACGGCATTCTTGTTGCGCTCTCGGGGCAGAAATTTAATACGGATTTTAATTACGTCTACATCGAAAACCTCATTCACATTGTGTAATTGAAGTTTTTTTTATAAAATAATGTAAAAAACCAGCTCTCTTCGTTAGACAGCGTCAATGAGCAAAAGCTGATTTGCAGTAACACCGACAGCCTGCAAAGTTAATAAAACATGCACCCTCAATGATATTTTTCTGTTGACAACAAATAACATTTTCAACTCTTCAGTTAATTTTGCATGAAAGATAGCGAGACCATACATTTGTAAAAGTATATGATCACACCAGAACCAGCCCATGAGTGCAAGCACCTCAATGTTCCTTTCTCCGTGTGCTGTGTTCACTATATCGGGTAACATGTTCATTTTTTTGTCATTTCAGTGCAAAAATTGAAACAAAAAAAGAGCGATTGACATGAACCTGCATACAACAAACAAACTTGATGACCCAGGTCTTTTCCGACAGAAAGTGATTTATCCTTTTTTCCACTCACGCATCAAAGTTAAATATACTCAGAACTTGTAATCAACGATTTTTAATCCATTATAGTGAAATTGCCTTGCCCCACCCGTAAAAATGTTGCAATTAAATTGAAGAAGAAAAAAATTGCGTCTCTTCAGGTAAATTAACTGGTAAAGCGTTGGTTTTTCTCATTCATGGTCGCACAAAAATATGGTGCAATTTTACCTTGGGGCATGGTTTAACGCATTCAAAAAAATACCTCAGTCATCAAGTCAAACATGAAATCAATAATTTATTTCAATTCTTTTTTTCCATCAGACAATAAACAACATGGTTGTTCAATGTTCATTGAACATCGTACAATATTTCCTCCTCCACTGAACAACGTAACGCAAAAAAAGAGTCTGCCACAGATCTTTATATTTGCGTTTTTGCCCCACGTTCATTGTTTAACTTACCGTTTTATCTTTCAGCATTCCGACACGACAATTGAACACGCCCTCCGTTCCTGTATACTGTGCAACATTCAGTGCACCAGCTGATGTATTTAATGGGCCTTCGAAAAACGGTCCAGAATAATGATGTTCGTGATGATGTTTTGATTGATATTGTCGTGTATGAGCAGCCACTTTTTGACGCAACATCGAATCGGCAAACGTTGAAACATCTGCAAACGAAACAAACACACAAAATAAACGAACAAATAAAAGCAATAAATTTTTAAATTTGTTACGAGTGTGTGCTACTTCGATTTAGTGCACAGCGCGCGCAGAGAAGAAAATGAAGAAAAAATAGGCAGATTGTGTGCTGATGATTTTGTCCTATGTGTGTACGGGCGAACTAAGCAGCAATGTAAGTGGATCGTAAATTTTCATTCATTGTCATTTTCATTTCGTTCTTTTGTCGTCGCTAACATCCGTTTCAGTGCTAATGTGTTCCGACGTTGTATCAAATCAACGTTATCTGAAGACATGTATAAAAAAAAAGTGCATGGCTTCGCTAAGAAAGAAAAACGAGTGAATATTCTGTCAAAAAATGAAAAATTCCCATTTGATGTGACACAAAATCACTACACTGCGTCCGACGACAGCGAATCGTCAAGAAAATCAATCATCATTTAGCTTTAATGTATTCGTGCCCGGAGTATGGCATTAAAAAGAAACGGAAATTTCGGATTATTCCATTATTTTGTCATTTTTCAAGCTTAAAAAACGCATAACTTTCTGTCAACAAATTTTCCAATTAGTTAATTAAATCGTTTTCATCTGCATAATGTGATGAATATACATTATTTTTTTAAAGCGCAAAAATCTTTTTATTTTATGGAAAATGCCGCTGATGTGTATACGACTTTATGGCAAGTTTTGTGGGAAAATAATTTCATTTAAGCATGTGGCGTCCTGTTGGAGTTCTCCTTTGGCAAAATCCCATTAATCCAAAAGTGAAACGAAGCAAGATTTCCATTTTGAAAATGTAAAATTGCAATATTTTCTCTCGATTTTATTGGAGCGCGCTTGAATATAAAATTTCTTCGCTTCCATTTTGATTCGAAAAGTTAAAGGCGCGTCAGCCAACATTGTGCTCAAGACTTTCAATACGTGCATACAAAATGCCGGACATAGAATTGAATATGTTTTCAAATATTGAGAATGCCTTCCTTAACCGCACAGATTTCCTTATAGTTGATCGAAGAACGTCAGCTTCGTGGCAGTGAATGGGATTATGCAACTAAGAGTCAATACACATTCTCAAGGATCTATTACTAAGTTTACTTTTCAACTTAAGTTTTCATTTTTCATCTATTAAAATACTTTTCATAAATCTGTTTTTATAGTTCCATTTATGCGGCCATTGTGCGATGCATTCAAAACGGCAAAAGCTTGTTGGCTGCTTTTCGCAATTCATTTTAGTAGAAACTCAAACACAGTGCATTCATTGAGAAACGAAAGAGAGAGAGAAAGAGAGAGAGAGAAAGGGGGAAGAGGAAGAGGAAGCAAGAGAAATGGAAAGAGCACGCGAATGAAATCGAAAATCCGATCGATTTCAATAATAATAAATCGGAAAACTTGCATGATATGCAATACGGAGGAAGAATAAATTTGTAAAACGAAACTCTTCGCTCTTTTTGGTCAGTTCGATTGCCAACGGCGAAATAATTATATTTTTCTTATGTGCATTGAAAAGTTTTGTTTGTGTTTCTTTTCTATTCTGATATTTCAAAAAGTTTCTTTTTCTCCCTGCATGTTCCTTTCTTTGCCAAGGCTGGCCGAGTGAAGAGTGGTAGAGTTTGATGAAAACATATCATATGAAAATAATTCGCAAATGTTACGGTGCTGGTTCCGTGTGCTGTCGGTTGCATTACCGGATGATTTGTAAAAACTTAATTTTCTCTCTCTTTCGCCATTTCATTGAATCGATGGACGAAAAGTTTTACCGATTCACTTAACTCTTCGATGTAAGCAAAATTCATTTATCCAATTGCAAAAAATATATCTACATCTATCTATCTCACTCCCGTTTGACCATAAAAGAGAGAGAAAATTGATTTCATCGAGAGGTTTTTATTGTTGGTGCACAGGTAAAAGTGAGAAATCTGATGAAACAAAATCCTTAGTCGAACATATCAAGTGAATAAATCTAATGAGTTTCATAAAAACAATCATTTCATTAAAAGCGAATGCGAAATACACATAAAATTCTTCGAAAAAGTAACTTATCTTCGATCATTTCAAGTAAACGGCAACATACAATCAACGTGTTTCATCTGAAATTTATGACGAGTATCTCGCTTTCATGTTGATGGAAATAAATAGTAAATACATTTAATGGTGGATTTTAATTTTCATCGAGTGTGTTTGCGAAAGAACAACGAAAGTAATTAGAAAGTAGGAAAAATCAATGTTTTTTTCTTGCTTTAATTAAAAGACTATTAATTTCGGGAAGTTTGGACGAATGGGAGAAAAGTCGTTTGTTCATAACTCTACTTATAAATCAATGAATGAATCGAGTTGATGGGATTGCATTCAATCGCATCTTCAAATGACGCATGTAACAAAGCCATAATCTACATTATCTATTTGAAATCGTTAGATGATTTTGAAGTTGTTACGAAGTTGCAAAGTAATTTACGAATTGGGTTTGAAGTAGAATTTAATTTAACAGTTATATCCAAGTTGTTAGCAAGGACATTTCCAGTTATAAAACAAATATCCGAAAAAAAAGAAAGAGAGCAATCGCACAAAAGAACGAAAATGGCAAAGTCATTTTTTCACAATAAAAAAAACTAACCATTTCAAATGTACACACATAGCATTCGCAATACGACACATCGACAAGCTGATATGCGTGCAATATTTCCTTTTGTATAAAATGGTATGAGTGCAGAAAGGTATAAAAATTATGAAGCAAGTGCCGTAAAACTAAATCGAAACTACAATGAAGTATTGAAAGAGATGTAGTTAAATGCGCGCCGAAAAAACACACACCACTTGGTACTTTAAGATCGTTAAATTGAATGAAATAAACTTTGTATTGCGTGTTATAACTACAAACTAAATTGAAACGATTGAAAAAGTGTACAATTCAAACAATTGAAAGTTCCATAGCATTCAAACAAAGAAGAGGAAAAAACACCAACAAACGAAGCAGAAGAGAAAGGAGCACAGCAATGGGGTTAGAGTCAACTATGGACAGAGAAAAGTCCATCGACATTTATTGGATTTTGTAATTCTCTGTTGGAAATTACGAATCGACATGAATGTCTTTAATGTTTTCTTTCGATTTATTTAGTTATTTGGCTTGGTCATAGTTCGCGCACTCAACACACAGGGCCATTTCGTTTACATTCTTTCCATTGCTTGCCATTCCATCCAGCTAATTTCCTCATGAAGTTTCGTCTTGGTCTTTTTTTCTGCGCTTTTTTTTCCTTCTCTTGATTGTCTTCGGGAGGGAAATGCAGGGATAATAAAAATGATGCCACTTTTGGAGTCAGTTATGTGTGCATTGCATTATGCTGAGGATACGGACGTTGCTACGCATAAGAAATGAATTCCAATCATTTTGGTTCAGAAACAAATTGGCAAAATCCACATATTTGTATGCAAAAACTGTAAGCGAAAAATGCTACCACGTACCAAGCATCAAATGTATGTGTGTAGTGAACTCACCACTATTAAGCGAACTTTTCTAATGTCATTTTCCATTTGATTGCCATACACAAAAGTGACAGAGTGTGCGAACGAAAGAGATGAATTTCCTAATGCATATAGCCATTTATTAGAATGGCAATACAATTTTCTGGTGAAAGACCAATGTCGTCGAGTGCTCAAAATTGTATTTGTCTATGTCAGTATGAATGAATGTTTTGAGTCGAATGAAATTCATTACATTTAATATGGACTTGGTGAAATACTTTGGTTTTTGGGGTTAAATTCGAAAAGATGCAACTCTCTGCAAGAAATATGCTTACCATTTTGAACACTCGCGGCGCACAATGTGGCCAGCACATAAAATGCAATCTAGTTAAAATGTATACCAAACTCAACACCAAAACTATGTTTACTACGCGATACGAGAGACGAAATGTTTTGGTCATGTGCAACGGCACTCTCGAAAACTCGAATTTCATGTGGCTGCATTTTTATACACTGTTGGCTTTTGTTGAATGTTTTGCCCTACAGAATTGCTGTGTATGATTGGGAATTTCAGACAGCAACAACACTCTTTCTCTCGCTTAGAAGGTACAATCACTTCAACCAATTTTGAGCAATTCAATTCCAAAACGAGCCTTCAACAACATCAATCGAATAAGAGACCAAAATAAGAAATATTACATACATGCACACTCGTGTGTGTGTGTCGTTTCTCAAATTGCGCGGCGAAATGAAATTCAATGATCGAATGTGGTAGATAAGAGTTTAATATTTCGTGATTGGAATGTTTGAGCCATTCCCATTGCAAATACATTTCAATCGCAACACACAAAATGAAAATAGAAAATGTGAAAAAAGCATGTATATATATATATGAAATAAGCTCAGGGTGATAATTTAAATCGTATATGTAGTACTCACGTGGTTTATTAGTTGTAATTGGCAATGTAGACGATGTTGATGGACTGTCCCTTCGGGTATTCGATCCAGCAATAAATTGAGATGTTTGCATGCGACTCGTGATTTCCCCATTCGTCAATGGTGATATTGTAGTGTGAATTATATCCACATTGGATGGTGTTGATGCTGCATCGGCAACAACAGCTCCAGCACTTGCTATTGTTGCTGCTGTTGTTGTTGCATGTGCGCCTGTAGTTTTGCCATTCACTGCACCATCTATCATGGGCACAATGCTGCTGCCACTACTATCGTTATTCCGTGTTAACGACAACGATGATAACGACGGCTCCACCATCACCACATGCTCTGCATTAGCAGCATCGGTATGTATTGTTTTCGATACGACTAATTCATTTATTGTTCCATTATTATGACTATTATTTGTGAAATTAGTGTTATTCTCAATAGTTGCTATGCTGGCGTTGTTTCCATTGAAATTGCTGCTTGCGATGACACCTGTTTTTCGAAGAGACAAAAGCACAAATAATATATAATATTAACAATTACAAATTGAATTTTGCGAGATTTCATTACGACCAACAAAGGGGAGAAGAGAAATGTGCAAAATCAACCAAACCGCCGATATCACGATCAATATTACTATTAAATTAACTTCACTCTTTTGTTTGCAATCGACGTGCATGGAACGTTTTACTGAAAAAATTTGATGGAAAATCTAATTGGTTATAATTTATAAGCGAAATTGAGTCGAATGCCAATCGGATGGAAAAAAATCGATGGAATTGGTGTCGCGCAAAATAAAAAATCCATTCGATTAGAGTCGAAAGAAAAAAAGTGCCATAAAATTGAATTAATTTCATAGCAGAATACGCTCGGTTGCGACAACAAATGATGATTTTGTGTTTGGGATTTGCTTCATTCATTTTTGTGATATTTTTCATTTTAATTCAGAATGACTTTGAATTTTTTGCGACCTTTTTTTTAGAAAGACATGCCAATTGAAACTGTTTAAATATAAGAAAAGATTAGCAGAACAAATCCAACGAATGATTGAACGAACAAACAAAAAAGCCGGAGCGTTATGAGAATAAAATAAGTCGAGCAGAAAATTCATTCCACGCCTTTTTCCCATTCATTCTTGTGCTCGTTGTCTCTCACTCTTTCTCATTTTTTGTTGTTTTTAGCTCAGCCAATAGATTTTTGCTGGCAAAAAATTTCCGTTTTGTCATCGTCATTCTGTTAACCATAACCATTATTACCATCAGACGATTCATGCTAGATCTGGCTCTGTTTTTCCTTCGTGTATCATTACTCACCGCACTGTGCGACATGTTTCAATCGTTCTCTTATTTTTATGTACTTTTCTAATTTGCACGCAATTCCCTCATTTTTTTGCTCTAACATTTTCTCACTTTCGCTCTGTTTTCTTTGTGTGACTTTTTTCTTTTGTTTTTTTTTTCACGCTCTCTTCCCACTTATTCATTTTGAAATCCAGCGAATTTACCCTCGGGCGAGTTTATTTTTTTGCTTTTTTCAATTTTTCGTGTGTCTAACTTTTTTTCATGATTACTTTCATTGCGCGGAAAATTTGAAAACAATATGAATATTTCGAAAAATTAAAAAAAAGTAGAAGAACCATTTGGTGTTTATGAAGTTGATCAAACGCAAAATTTAATTTCCACCATAGACCAGACGAGATGCGGATTTACATTTAAAGAAACAAATATTATTGCGTGCGGCAGTGTGCAACAGTGGAGTAGCTTGAGACGTCAAGTCACTCACTTGTAATGATGTCGTCTAACGATGACAGCACAAAATACACCGCTCTTGGCATGATGTGTTCATTACATCAAATGTAATAAAAAAAACACGCCACAACTTAGATTGATTGCTTTTTATTCAATGCTATGAACATAAGGTAAAGTTTCAGTGAAGCTTTTTCTTTAACTTTTTTTACAAGTTTGTTTTTGATAGAGCCTCTTCGTTTCTTTTTCTTTTGTTTAAGTGTCATGATTGATTTTTTGGTTGGTGTTTAATTTTTGGTTTTCTGAATGCCAAATTTGAAGAGTCTGTGTTCTCTCCGTATGTGTTCCGGCAGCACATTTTATGGAGATAAAAATGCTTGAATTCTTTTTGCAATTTCCTGCATTTCGTGCCCATTAATCCGAAAGAATGACATGCATTTGATTAATTTTATGCTTTTTCTTCGTAACAGACAGAGCATTCTATCGACATATCCCGGCTAGTAGGTCTTCAGTCACCCATGTTCCCGTTTCACTCCCATTTCAATTTTTATTTTCTCCAAAATATTTCATCAATTGATTGCTTCGATGGTATAGAATTATGTTGACCAATGTCGAAAACAGCAAAAATGAGATGAATTTCCGTTCGTGTTTCTCTCTCTCTCTCTTTTCAAATATTTTTCCGTCGAAGGGAAGGAAGATTGTTTGCCAAACTGATTGCATTTCATCAATCAAAAATGATGCCGTCCAAACTATTTTGCTGTCGAGTATGTTTTTATTCAATTTTATTTGTCTTAGAATAATTTTGCTTGTCGAAAATAACCATCAAGTAAATTAAAAAAGAGTGACTGAGAACGATGGAATTCCAATGTGAAGAAAGGAAAATCTTAAAGAAAAACATCGTCGTAAAAGTGAAGCCATCGTTGTGAGTGTTCACAATCGTAAAATTTTATTAGTTTTTTTCTTTGAAAAAAATTATAATTGGAATTTTGGATTGGTTTTCACGAAGCATGGAGAATGAACGGAATCATGACAAAAAAAATAGTCGCTCGAAAATGCCACAACGAAAATTTGCTGACGTTTATTGGCTATTCGCATTTGGTTGTTGAGTATAACACAGAGTTTGAAAATAAGTTTGACGAAAGCGAACCAATTTGCGTGGTATGAATGAAGAAAATCAAATGAGAAGTAGTGGAAAATGAGATGAGAAATTCGATTGAATCGACTGTTTTTCGTCGGGGTGAACAAAAGACACTTCAGCGTTGTTTAGAAGCAACAGCGATCCTTTTTTTCGCTTTGCATTTGTCCAAAATGAGAAATTGAAATGAAGTATAAGCATTTATGAACAGTTCGTGTACTTTACGATGGCAGTAATGAAAGCTCTCTCATTTGAAACAAAAGTCATTTGATATGCTTTCAGTGGCAAAGCAGCAGCAGCAGAGTAGCACAGTGGCAATAGCTTGAGAGTGAACTTAATCTCCTCAATTTTGCAACCATTAATATTTGGTGTTAGTGAAAGCGTGTCATGTTAACTTGATGCGGAGACTTGAAAGTAATACAAAACAAATTTTACTGCAACACCAAATGCATCCCGAAAATCATCGCTCTTTTCACTCAGTACACCGAGAACGTACACAGCCGCACACGGTTCGTACCACACACAAACAACAAGAAGTGAAAAAGATCGCATTCCACTTTTTACTATGAATATTTAACGAAGTTTTCATCAAATTAATTTTCACGAGGAAAATTACATTTACATTTTGTGCATGCAAGCATTTGCTTTTTGGAGAAATGAGCCAGCCCTTGACAAACTAGCTCATTGCAAGTGTGACTTTGTTATGCTTAGCAAATGTTTATTTTTCTTTATTTTCATCCGATTTTTCGCTCGACATTTCAAATCGAAAATCCAAGCCCCGAAAAAAAAAAATATAATAAAGGAGCGAGTAAAATATCCCAGGGATTTGTGCCCCTTTTATGTCACACAGCTGTCAATGTGTGATATGTCAACGTGCATTTTCTTTAAAAACATTACGAGCGAATTAAATTGTTGATTTCGTATAGATGTCGCTGTCTATCTGTTTATATTAAATTGTTGATTAAAAAAAATCATCCGAAAATATTCCTTTAATTTGCACAAAAAAATTATTTTATTATTTGTGTTCAAAAATAACGATAATTTTAAATATTTAGGTTATTGAAATAAATTATAACGTAACACCTCACAAAATAACAATTTATTTACATGCTCATTGTTGACAATCCTTAGCACTAATACAATAACAGTGCAAAGCGCTCACTCAAAAAAATTCATGTGATGACATAAACCAAAGTGGAACGCGCATGTATTTGTGCGAACAACATCGTCTTCATTGAGTCATATGATCGTACACGATGCTCATAAGCGAACAAATCAACGTAAAGAATTTTGATCATGTGACTCAATGAAGACGATGATGCGCGTTTCACTTTGGTTTATGTCATCACATGAATTTTTGTGAGTGAGCGCTTCGCACTGTTATTGTATTTGTGCTAAGGATTGTCAACAATGAGCATGTAAATAAATTGTTATTTTGTGTGGTGTTATGTTATAATTTATTTCAACAACCTAAATATTTAAAATTATCGCTATTTTTGAACACAAATAATAAAATATTTTTTTTTGTGCAAATTAAAAGAATATTTTCGGATGATTTTTTTTAATCGAAAAATTAAAATCATCTCTTCATTTTCTATGATTGTGAAGGGAATATCCTAGGATATTTCTACATCTACGCTGCCTATCGGGTTTTTGAAAAATTATCGAGGGGCACTTTTTTACTCGCTCCTTTCTCGCTCTTCGCTTCAACCGAAAAAGCCCAAGTAGTGCATGTTCGGTTTTGGTTGGGTTTAAATTCAATCTGGAAATGAATTTTCATCGTCATTCCAACTTTTCACGGATTGCCATTAAGCCGGGGTTTATGAGTACCACAGAAACGCGAGCTTATACAGAGAGTGAGCGATGAGAGAGATACATTGAATATAAAATTATGAAAATGGCTGTTTATTTGAAAAAGATTTATTAATTTCTACATATGAATCGTTGCGGCAAAACAGTAGCTCTTATTTTTCTCCAAATAATACTGCAACATGAAGTTTTTTTCACACGGTTTATTTGTTGTAATACAACAAATAAACTATTCATAAAAAACTTTATGTTGCAGTATTATTTGGAGAAGAATAAGAGCTACTGTTTCGCCGCAACGATTCATATGGTGATGAGATTGCTTGGTGCATGCCATGTAAGAATTTTTCCATATTCATGGTTTGGATGATGTTTGTAGAGTGTGTGTTAACATGGAAACGATAGAATTTACATTTCAAAAAGTGGTAGTAAAACAATGTTAAAACTTCGTAAACGCAATTTAGTGGAAACACAAGAGAAACTCAACAATTTGAGCCGAAAAAAAACTTTTTTTTTTGAATTTCATGTTACGGAACGATTTTCAATTTGACACGTGTGTTGAAAGTGTGTGTGTGGCGTTCGTAGATACGATGTTGATGGAATAAAAAGAACGGTAAACCGTATTACGAATGAGATGGAAGGTACGAGTGAATGCAATGCGATGAACGAGTGCATGTTATATTGAGTTTCGTTCCGACGAAGAAAAAATCTGTTGGAATGTCGGAAGTTTGCAGGTGCTTAAGCATTTTAATATGCTACACAAATTCGCATTCGGGCATTTCATTGATGCTGATACGGCCGGTGTTTGT